CCTCCGTGTAGCCCACACTGGAAGAAAGCCTGGTTCCTAAGCTTCTTGTTGATATCAAACATGGACGACAATTCATGAAACATCGTTCTTCTTGCAATGTTTTACGGCCTGTCGACAGGGTATTTATGGGTAAAATATCAACATTTTGTCCCGTAAATTGGAACAAGTTAAAAAAATCGTATCACTATGAAATTATGCAGACAAGCAGGGGACAACATATATTTTACGACGCGGAGTCTGCAAGTTTCATGATAGCAGGGCGAAGGGAGAGAGGGCGTAGAAACGGCCATACATCGAGCGGCCCATCCGTGATGCGGACTTCGCGGGGGGTAAGACGTTCTAATTGTAAACAAATATGGCTACGCGTATATGACCCATCAGAAGGTATGCTGAAACTATTGCTTTATAAAATATTACTTGTGTAAAATTTATATGTTTTTGTTACTTTTAGCTATTATAAGAAACTTAAAGATAAGATTTAAGTAACAAAAAACTTTATTTCGGGTGTTATTTTATTTATATACTCTGTTTAATTTGGTGGTTAAAAATGGCCGTCGAAATGTTGTCGGAGAGTGTTAGCGCGCACTGCTTCCTGATAAAAACCCAATGATTTCCAAAACCTAAATTATAATTTGTTATTAAGTTATGATGAAAACCTTTGCGTATACAAAATTATAGAGTGAGCAAACATGAGACAGATAGGTTTTGAACCTTTCCAAGTTCGAGGTCGAATTGACAGTTGAAATAGTACCAAACTCCAAGCTGAAATGTGCAACTAAATCGTGTATATTTTTGTCAATTTTGTTCGCTGGCTTTGTTAAATTCACTTGCAATGGCTCGACATAAGTTACAACATACAAACTGAGCAGAGCCCATGAAAGAGCTATCCATACCCATACAGTCATTCAGCTTCCTTGCTATTTAGAAATTGTTGCCCATTAGTTGAAGAAGAATTGCTATTGTATGCGCTTGTTTGCACTTCCTTTCCTAAAAAAAGTCTACAATATTAAGGCTAAATAGCAGAAAAATATGACCCAATAATCCATGCAATTAAAAATATCTATCAAATTAACTTCAAAAATCATGATTTGAGGAATTATATCTATTCAGGCAACCCATAATTTAGTGGCAGGTCTTGGCAAGGTGAAAGCTGAAAGGAACCCTTAAGATCGGTGTACTACAAAACTATATTGACTGAAATTTTGGAAACATTTAACTAAATTTTGAAGGATTCACTTGCAAACTGTGATTCAGTATCATGGAATTTTACACTTCTGGAGAAGTTGTGGCTCTGTTAGTGCCATTTCTTTCATTGTTTATATACAGTATCTTGCTTTTAAGCATCGCTTGCTTATAAAATCTTTCAATTCCTTAGGGCCTGTTTACATGATCCCGCCTAGATCATGGGACGGGATGTTTTCATCCCGCCAAGACAGGATACTAGCCTAGTGTTTATATGGACAAAATACATTGCTGGGATGAAACCATTCGGTGCTTGACGTCATATTTTTGTTGCAATAAAGGCATTTACGCATGCCCAAAATGGAAAAATTCATTCCGCCTAACCGGGATGAAGTGTTTATATGGGAATTTTTCATCCCGGCTAGGCGGGATGAAGTGTTTTTATATGGGAATTTTTCATCTCGCTTGGGCAGGATCCCGGCATCTGTTGCCGAAATCCAGTCTAGGCGGGATAAGTGGCGGGATCATATAAACACTCTTTAGCATTTGTATTACGAGCGGGATCTTGGTAAGCATCCCATCCTGCCTGGCTGGGATCATATAAACAGGCCCCTAATCTCATCCCATGATACTGAATCACAGTTTGTAAGGCCCCATTTACATGAGACCAGGATAAAACCAACCTGGAATGAAAATTGAAATTGCATGTCAACATGTTTACATGAGACCAGTATGAGAATCACAAAATTTTCAATTTATTCCCCTTGCCAGGCAATTTTCTTCTTCAGATGACTTTTGTTAGCATGTGTTGTTCACTTGTTCCAATGTCAACATTCATTCCAGTCTGAATTCATACTGGTCTGAGTCAGTCGACTTGGTCCAGCAGGCGGAATGACATATATATATATATATATATATATATATATATATATATATATATATATATATATATATATATATATATATATATATATATATATATATATATATATATAATGACCAAAACGAAATGGTCCCGGTTAATTGACTTCGTTCCAGTCTCATGTGAACTGGACCTAATAAAATCCTTCAAAAGTTGGCTAAATTTTTCCAAAACTTCAGTCAATGTAGTTTTGAAGTACACCAATCCCAAGATCTGTCACTAAATTATGGGTTGATTGCCTGAATAGATATAATTCCTCAAATCATGATTTTTGAAGTTAATTTGATAGACATTTTTAATTGCATGGATTATTGGGTCATATTTTTCTGCTATTTAGCCTTAATATTGTAGACTCTTTTCAGAAAAGGAAGTGCAAACAAGCGCATACAATAGCAATTCTTCTTCAATGGGCAACAATTTCTAAATAGCAAGGAAGCTGAATGACTGTATGGGTATGGACTATGGATAGCTCTTTCATGGGCTCTGCTCAGTTTGTATGTTGTAACTTATGTCGAGCCATTGCAAGTGAATTTAACAAAGCCAGCGAACAAAACTGACAAAAATATACACGATTTAGTTGCACATTTCAGCTTGGAGTTTGGTACTATTTCAACTGTCAATTCGACCTCGAACTTTGAAAGGTTCAAAACCTATCTGTCTCATGTTTGCTCACTCTATAATTTTGTATACACAAAGGTTTTCATCATAACTTAATAACAAATTATAATTTAGGCTTTGGAAATCATTGTTTTTTTATCAGGAAGCAGTGCGCGCTAACAGTCTTGGACAACATTTCGACGGCCATTTTTAACCACCAAATTAAACAGCGTATATAAATAAAATAACACCCGAAATAAAGTTTTTTGTTACTTAAATCTTATCTTTAAGTTTCTTATAGTAGCTGAAACTAACAAAAACATATAAATTTTACACAAGTAATATTTTATAAAGCAATAGTTTCAGCATACCTTCTTATGTGTCATATACGCGTAGCCATATTTGTTTACAATTAGAACGTCTTACCCCCCGCGAAGCCCGCATCACGGATCGATGTATGGCCGTTTCTACGCCCTCTCTCCCTTCGCCCTGGTCTACCTGAACTAGACCGGTCAGCACTTGTTTCCATCCACCAAACTGACATGACGGCATTTTCGGAAAATGGAAGAGGTGTTAAATGGCGATGTAACTAACCCAAACCCCACCCCTACTCTAACCTCTAACCCTAACCGCAACCCTAACTCTAACCCTAACCAAATTAATGAAAAAAATCCAAAAAGAAAGAACTTTAGAGATTGATCAAATGACGCAACGTCAGTTTGATGGTTGGAAACAAGTGAAAACCAACTAGACCAGAGTCTATCGGTCTTAAGCAAATCATATTAAATACTGCCAACCAAATTAATGTAACAACAACCATTTTAAGTTTCCTTGCAATTGTAAACCTTCAATAGTCCCTTAATTCTTTCTCAATTTTCTGATTTTAAATGTCTTGTATATTCCAGTAACACTCTATAATCCACATAACCTTAAAGTTAATGTACCACTGACAATCAAAGCACATTCTGTAAGCATAATCTGTGTCAATATAATGATTCCAAAAATAATTAAGTATCCAATTGACCCAATATTGAGTTCTATGTGGTATCACTGTTTGAACTCTGAAGATGCAGAAGATCTTTCAACATCTGCAAGACTGCAACCATCCCTGCATGAAGTTTAAAACAAATTATTAAAATTAACTTGATGAATGTATCTATGACTTGATGACTAGTGACTACTACTAGATAGTAACACATTTAAATGGAGTGCCTGTTTTGAAAGCTTGCTTTCCCCAATTATTGGAGTATGAATTATAAAAAATGATTATTTGTCCTGCTTTGAAATAATACACATAAAATACTTTGTATACGTATACATAGTAAAATGATCAATGGCCATCAATAACCCGTCCAGGGAATAATTTGGACAATTATTAAAACAATAAAGAAATATTTAAACGTGCGAGAATCTTAGTTTAAAGATATTATCTTTAAAAGAGCAGAGCCCAGCAAATAACTTTAAAACCAAAGTTTTTAAAGTTATTTGCTGGGCTCTGCTCTTTATCTTTAAACTATAAAGATTTCCGCCTGGTGTATCAATTGCCACAGTGCGAGAATCTACCAAAACATTTATATATTTAGCTGTCATGAAAGCGGAGAGCCTTCATACTCGGTTGATACTCCCGAGCAAAACTCGCAACTAAATTGTGCCAAAAAAAAAAAATTACGCTACCAGACTTGACAAATAAAAACTCGCTTACCTTTTCTTCAATATATTCATAAAACAGATGAAAATAGTCCACTTATATTCCAAAAGGAGCAGTTTTAATAATCATAGTGCGGTTTTCGCCATATTGTTTATAGTAAAATTCTCACACTATACTACCTAAGAACATGGCCGCCGCTCTCTCGCGGGTGTATGCAGGCCTATGTCGGCGCTACCGCCTAACATCAAAGGAGTGTCCCTTCTGGTTCTACTCCTTATTCTGTGCCGGGACTTTAACGCGCGGCTGATATGAAAGTGGACTGGAACGAGTTTATCGTGGCAACATGGCATTCTCGTACCCAGAGCCCTTCTTACGTGCGTTCGACCGAGCCCGACGAGGGGCTCTGGCCAAATCCATAACCGGATACCATAAAAACATGGTATCCGGTTAAACACTGCGCATGCTCAACGTCAAACGCGGATAAACACTTCGGTTTTCTTGTTTGTTTCGTTTTGACGGTTTTTCTCCAGGAAAACCCCACAAGAGCGGTAGGTTTCGCTAATTTTATTTATTTAAATCAATTAGTAGGTAAGACGTGATGTTATCAATGCATGTTGATAAAAATTTAGTATATATTTCCCTCTTAAACGTTGCCAAAGCAGTATAAATGGCTACGGATACGAAGACGAGACTCACGAGAGATTGTCTCACTATTTTATATTCGATTTTAAGTCGCTGTTGTACAGATTTTTAGACTTTTTTGTGTTTTTATTAAAAGTCAACAGTCATACATAAGACATACTATACTACAAATCATTTGAAAATTGTAAAAAATCGGTTTCTAGGAAGAAAATAGTCATCACAATTAACTTCATATTCTGGCTGGCTTTAATATTTCGAAATTTTCTCTTCAGATGGCACGTCAGCTTTGAACATGTAACACAGATTTGTTTGATTAACATCACTGATTTGGAAATACGACGACCATCTGCCATAAAATATGCTGACTTTTTGCTATGAGAACATCACGTCTCAACCTATTAATTTCAATCAACTAATTGATTTAAATAAATAAAATTTGCGACATCTACCGCTTTTTGTGGGCGATTATCAACAACAATCCTCGTACTGCTGTAATAATGTCTTTTCTCCCAATTTTATCCAAAACGAAACCAACGCTCCATGGAGCGCTTGATTTTTATTCATATTTTATACAATAAACCATATATTTAGTTGTGGCCAATCAGAAGCCAGTTTGATATGGATTTGGCCAGAGCCCCTTCTCGGGCTCGGTCGAACGCGCGTAAGAAAGGCTCTGGGTACGAGAATGGGCAACATGGCAGAATCTTCGAAATCAGAGAATTGTTTCCTCAAAGTTTTTCTTAAAAAAAAGGGAATATATTTTCACTTTTTATATATTCCTGATGATGACTGCAAGATACTCGAAACGTAGATTATTCAGTATCTTTTGATGCGGATCAAAGTTTAAGATCAAGAATTGCCTTCATATGTTGTGAACATTTTATACTTCAACGATTTCCCATTTCCCAAGTCATGAAAATTTGGAAAGTGCGCGGCCATATGGGCGGTAACTTTAACAGTCAATATTCCCCCGGTAGCAGGGAAATTACCAAACTTTAACATTGTCAAAATGTTAATTTCCCCGCCCTATGTCGGGGGGCCGGGGTTTCAATTGACTAGTGCATAAATGTTAGACCTATTTGTAGACCATTGCCCATCAATTAGTAGCATGCAGTTGACCTCAATAAAATTAACTCATCTATTTAATAAATCTGCACATAATTAGTTCCATTTTCTTGTATTATAATAACATTTTTGCTATAATCATAGTATGGGACACTGAGCTTTATAAATAAAAACTTTTAGAAGATGGCTTTCACTCTACGACAGACAGCCTACTTTTGGTCTGTTTATATGTCCAAGCTAACCCAACCTACTGTAGATTAGCTATATTTCTTTAATTACTTTATTGTTATTTAAGTATTTACATTAGCAAATGGTGGCCGCACAGGACATAGCCCCCAATTATTACAGCTACAATATAACAGCCGGCCTAGCTTGGTTTCTCAATTTATGTGAGACTGTTCAGTGTTGAGGCAAGCGAGGCAAGCATGGGCTTGCTGGAACAAAGCAGCTAAGCAAAAAACTATATTCACACAAGCAAATCTCAAAGTCATGCCATCTAGAAACATTAATTGATCGAGCCATTTGAAGTTTAAATGTGTAAAAAAATATTAAATACAACATATTGTCATGATCCATATTGTCATAATCCTATTTGAGCTGCCATTAATTACCAACTGAACTACTGAAGATTCAGGGATATTTTATATTTGACCAGGCAAACAATAGAAATTTAAAGTAGCTAATCTGGCTTCACTACCTACCAATATGCCTTAGTTATATAAACCTTCTTTCCTCCTGGGCTGGCCTGCCTGGCCAAGACTCTTTTCCAAGCCTTAGATCTTGGATAACAGCTGGGCATTAAATAATTAATACATAATTCACATCAATCTATTGATATAAATAACAATATAACATTTCTTTATTTTGAATTCTTAGGGGGTGTTTATATGGAGGAGAGCCAGCCCAGATACCTGAGCTAGCTTGCTTTGCCGAGATCTAACATTGCTATGTAATTTATACTAACATTTATCTTGTGTTTAAATGGGAACCGAGCTGGCCTGCCTAGGTGAGATCTTGAAAAATAAAAATATATTTACTTATATTATACTATTTATAGCGGTAAGACCAGTGATTTGTTTTGGCCAGACAGCCCACCTCAAAAGTCCCATGTAAACATGGGATGAAATCAGCTCAGCAAAGAGAGCTAGCTCGAGTACCCGCATGGGCTGGCTCACCTCCATATAAACACCCCATTAGAAGATTTCAAAGTTAAAATTTCTTTTGAAATCTCTCTGAGGGATAAAACCTTCAAAACTTTATTGTTGACAAAAATTTCAGGTAGACAGTATCCAGGAAAATTGCCTTTTCATATTGTAAGGCCAAAATTATGTACATAATTTCAGTAATAAATAAAACAAGACGCCTGCTCAAGGCGTTCGCTCCGTCGGTATATCTTTATTTGGTATACCTAGAATTGCTTGGGGTGATGTAGGAAGTTGTTGACGTGTGGTTAGCACCTTTATATTATAACCTTGGCATTTCAAGTCAAGTCAATTTATTTCACCAGTTTACATATATAGAATAAAAACAATGCAATAGCGTATACTGGCAAGGAAGCTCAAAGTCCTCAAAGAGAAACTAAAAGCTTATGGGATTTGTGCTCCTTTTTACATATTCATGAATATACAGATGCTAATATAATTACAAGCGGCATAATATCATAATTGTTCTTACAATTATAGAAAAGAAAATTAATGCAGAGCAGACAGAGAGAAATTGAGATGTAAATTATTAGATACTGGAATATAATGTTCACTGTTACATACAGAAAAGATAATTTTTCAGTTTAAGTTGAGAAACATAATACCGTACATACAAATCAGAAATGAAAGATATATCTCCAGTACTTTAATTATACTTGGTTTAGCATTAATCATTATAATTAATGACCAGCATAGCCGTTGATAACCTCCTGATAACCAAAGTAATGAGCAAAATTTCACAGATGACATGAATATGTTGTGCAGGTGAGGTCATCAATAACACTGTATTAATCAATAACACTTATCAGTGTTATTGAGTCATCAATAAGTGAATAACACTGTATAAATAAGAGGCCACGTCCATATTCATATTGTCACAAATAGCGTCGAATCGATCGACGTTATTATTTCACCCACCCCTGATAACGTCGATCGATATTCATACTTTACTACCGTCATTGGCTGGGATTGTATTTCGATACAATATTTAAATAGTGATTTGTTTTTGCCGGAGTGGCAATAAACAATACAAGCAAGATATAGCCGTTATAAAATGTCCATAATACATGTCATATTCTTGTTGGTAGAAGTTGCATGGCAACCAAGGTAAATTATAAAACAATCTTTTAATGCATGGTGACCTTGTTTACATATATTAATCGTCCGACATTTCCATAATCGTTAAACTCGTTAAAAATAAAACAGCGTAAATTGAATTGAATTTCAAGCGAATCCTTCGTAGTGTTGTGGTCTATAGGCACCCGTATTGCGTGCGCCAAGTTCTGAGATCGATTCCTGCACGCGCCACTATTTTATTATTTTTTTTATACTTTTTTTTCTTCGTGGTTTTCGCTTACGCACCGCGTACGAAACGTATAGCGTATAGAATATGTTGTTGCTTCGTTCTTAAGAAACAACGCAACCGTTTAGTGGTTTAGTGTTAGCTTTTAAAGCGTTGTCGGATGAATAGCCGTGAAGCAGGAAGATCCGGTGTCGGACGAATATCCACGTGGTATATTATATGTCTACTGACAGTTTACGAAATTAGAAAAGTTATGTTCTTAACCATTTGCTAATACTAGTGTGTCTGTGGAGGTTCCGTTGCACTAGCCTTCTGCATATAACCTATATAGGCGTAAATAATTTGGAAGTATAGAAGAAACAGAATAGCATGTTAATTAAAATCTTACCAGTATTAAATAAGCTTTCAACCTCGCTTTCAACTGTCTTGGCAGTCTTGCAGTCTGCCAGTCTTGGTGACCCAGTAGCCTTAATTCAGCCCGATTCGTTCTTTCGTTGTTGTTGCACCAACAAAACTACGTTAATTCTTAAAGAGTAAGTCCAGAGTACAACACAACATGAAAAACACAGTTCAATTCGGTGAAAATTTAGCGAAATTGCCAGAAATATTATTTGCCCACTCATCACGCAACCGCCATTTTGAAACTGAACTATATAGGTCACTGAAGCATACTTGCAAAATAACCCATTAGGGACTGGTCATGAAGTAACTGCTAGGGTGGGCTGGAGGTAAATCACAAATTTTGCCAATAAGTTTGGTGACCCATCTTAGGATGTAGATAAAGATTTCAAAGCCCATCTAATCTTACAAAATATTTTTCATGACCCACCCAATCTAAATTGGGAAAATACACTTTTATAATAAAAAAAAACTTGCAGGTATGAACAAAAATATACACCGGCACTGTATTGACATACATAATTCCACCAAGCTAGACATACTGAGCTGCTCTCCAAAGTACTAGCTTCAATAGCATCATTTGCATTTGATAATTTGGTTAGTTTTTGTTTACTTTTATTATTAATATCTTTATTTTTTGAAGTAGATATGCATGGGTTTTTGTTTGGTGGCCCAACCGTGGACATACAAAAAAATTGGCGACCCATCGAAACTGCACAAAGATTTTCCATGGCCCATCCCAAATCACTCCAGCCCACCCTAGCAGTTACTTTATGACCGGTCCCTTAGATGTATCCACAAAATACACCGATGTACCTGTGAAATGTTCATTTTGTGACATCCTAAAGACAGACAATTAGCATTTTAAAGCTCCCTCGGGCTAGGCCCGACGGAGCAATAAACAACTTTACCAATGACAAGTGAGATTCTTTATGGATATAGTGACACTTCAGACAGTCTTTGCAATTTCACATCATGATGAGCCAAAAACCGCAAAAGTTGATGCAATAAAGAATAATAGATTAATTCCTAATTATTTACAAACATATAGCAGTACCTTTTGCATTTATATTGTGGAAAAATATCTATATTTTTATTTTATTTCTGTATATTAGAAGAATGATAACACAGTGTTGCCACTTGGATTTTTCACATTTCACTATGTCAGTGACTAAATTTCACTATTTTGTTCAACAGGGTGGACATTCGTCTACGCATGCGCGAGAAACGTAAGCGTGGAGTGCACGTGAGCGCGGGTTAATCGCGTGACTAAATTATAAAAACAAACATCAAATTTGCCAAAACTACTCGTGTTATGAAGTCGTTTTCTTGTTTCTTTAGTGTTCTACGCATTTGTACGCATTTTTTTGAGCAGTCTTAAAACTCTTAGTGCCGGATAGTGTTAACTGGGCTTTTGTACGACCCGATTTTCAGAGAGTTTAAATTTTATGCGTCAGAAAGCGAGTAAAACGGATATGATGATATGCAACCGATCGATGATACCGATCGCTGTATGCCGTATGTCTTTCAAAACTGTAGGCTGATCAGAGTTAACAGTAATTTCGCTAAAGAACTAAAGAAGACAATTCCGTACGTTCTTATCAGTGGCATGGCTCGTCTTTTTCTTGGTCTTCTTCTCATGTGCCTGTGGAGTCTTCTTGAGGATCTTGCGCCCCTGACGACTCAAAATATTCTCTTTGGCTTTGACTGCGCTTTGCAGTCTCAAACGGATTAGCTGGTACGTCTTTATGTGCTACTCGCACTCGGTTTCCCTTATGGCAAGTTTGCTCGTGCCTCTTACGGTAATCGTCGGGCCGTATGTTAGATAACTTTTATGGTTAATACGTTTTCCCTCGTGAAATAAATAATAAAGTTTCTATAGACGTCAAAAATCGAATTACATTCAAGACACTAAAGTTTTATTCTTTTTCTTTTGGGTTTTGAACCGCGCATAATTGATAAAGAGCCTTCGCTGTAAGAGCAGTCGAGCGAAGAACATGCCCGAAAACGTGGGTTTCACATTTCAGTCTCCCGTCGATTTTAGAAAAATAAAAGACTAATAGTATTACTAGAAAATAGAAATACATTTAAATGGTACAAGGCCACACAAACCATTATTTTAAATTCAAAATTTATCGCTTTATTTATCGCCTTCGTTCTTAAATTTTACAATTTGCTGAATGCCGATTTCGCTATTTGCCGAACAGTAACGAAGCAATTTGCCGACTGGGGCCGATTTGCGAAAATTATTGGGAGGGGGGGGGGGGTG